TGTATATACATACAAAGATACATACACAGATACATAAATGGATACATACATATATACATACATACATACAGGCTTTTGAAGCCAAAAGTGTTTTTACGGCTCGACTCCGGCTCCGCACCAGGTCAAAATTAAATTTAAGAATAAAGTTGTGTTTAACGTAGGTTCAATGGTTATAATTGTTTTCCATACTTATAAAGCTTTAATAAAATGATAGTCATTCGCTTTTAAATTAAAGTTTATACGTCCTGTTAACGATGACAATTTTTTTCGATTTGTAAATTTTAAAACAAAAATTAATTAAAAATATAAATTATTACACATAAATTGTAAAGTGTTTTATGAATTAAAACTATATGCGCTATTACGTTTTTATATATTGATAGATTTATCTTTTTTTACACGACAGAACTTTGCTGCAAGTTGTTTGCTTGAAAGTAAGAAATTTTATTTAGCTTTGAAGTTGATGTGTTTTTGTATGTTTTTTGAGTGCAAATTTTTACTTTCTTTAATTAATTAAAAAAACCTCCAATATCCTCCAGTCTAAAAATACTTTAAAATCTTTATTAAGTATATACATGACAATTTTAAATTGGTTTGAGCCTCAACAAAGTACCATCTTGTCTAAAAAATATCTTTAGACAACAGAGTATAACTAAAATTTTGCCCACAACAAACAAATCTCAGGTAAGTTGTGATTTTTTTTCTTGGCTAAAACTGTATTGGATTTTTAAGTAAAAATAAAACAAACCATCTCTAAACAGTAAAATCTAAAATACCGTAAGATTGGGTGGCTTTGGCCCATTTTGCATCTTAATGTCTGTTGCATGAAAGCCACAAAAGTTATTTCCTCAAACACTAAGTACTTTTAGAAGCGCATAAAAAGGACAGTTAGAACTATCTGTCTCCCATTTGAAAATTATTTACCTGAAGTATCTTTTGGGTGGTTTAAATGGTGGGCCAAAGTCGCCCTATGTGTTAGGGTGACTTTGGCCCAGCCCTGTAAAAAGGAACTAAAGGAAGCAAAACTACAATAAAAACAACAATATTTAGGCAAAGAAAATAAATTTACAAAAATAAAGTGACAAAATAAGATTTAGTAACAAAGTTCTTGTGTACAGTAAATAAAATATAGGTA